GAATGTTATCCACATAAAATGGGATCTTGGATGCAAGGTGAGCGTTTTCAGTTTGATTTTGATTTTAAAAAATAACCAAATTATTTTTTCTAGAATTAAAACCGAACCGAAGCAAACTACAATTTCATTCAAACCGACTCAGCTTATTTTGTCAAAACACCGGCAAAACCAAAATTTTTCATTGGCCATGACTTATCACTAACCGTGATTTGCCAAAGGCATATTGCAATAAACTCTGGAAGTCTGCAGAGCTCCACTCTCATAATATAAACCCCCTTCACAATGGCAATTATCTTCTTCCAAGGCCCATGTGTCCTTGATTGCCCGTCAGCAATTTCCTAATTGACATTGGAAAAGTGTTCTACCTCTGAATTTTCTTGAATAGCATAATGATATTTTTGTTTTTCGACTTAAAATTTTTTTGGACCGGTCTAATTACTATTTTCAAATTAATTATGAATAAATAAGTATTTTTTTAATTTAATTGCATAGTAAAACGACTATAATATTATTAGAAGTCAAAAAAAAAAAACTAAACTAGCGTCATGGATATTTTTATATTTCCATAATTATTTTTTTGTTATTACAATTTAAATTAAGGGAAAAATCAAATATAAAAAATATAAATACATAGTAAAAATAACAAAAATACCCTTTAAATAAAAAAATTTAAGCATGAGATCAAGGGGTGTTTTTGATTTTTTATAATATTTTTTTTTATAATAAGAAAGTCGATTCATGGTCACCTTCGTATTTAACTAAATAAATAAATAAAATACACATATGGCACACTCAAAGACATGTAGGAGGCATTCATGCTCTTCAGATAACATATGCTGCCTCCCAATATTTAAAAATATCATTTCATCGTATCTTTGAAAGCGTTACAAAGTTTTTTTTTATTATTAGAGTGGTGTTAGTGATGGTATGGTTTGTTGTTGGTGAACTTGTTTTTTCCATTCTTCTCTGTCTCCTTTGAAAATTACAGCTTGACTCTTTTGATTATTGATATTTCAACATTAATCTTTTTTTTTTGCACTTTTATTGAAATTTTATTTATTTTTAATTTCATCTTTAAATTCTAATTTATTAAATATTATATTGTTCAATTTGATCTTTATTATTTGGATTTTTAATTCTTTACCTTGGCCTTTTTAAAAAAGTTTTATTAGTTTTTATTTTTATCATTTAATTCAAGTTGATGGTATCATATTTTACTATTTGGTCCTCATTATTTTAATTTTAATTTTTTTTCTTGATTCTTTTATAAAAGTTACTATTCTTTCAATTTTACCTTTTGATTACAACATAATTTTTTTTAATGTCAATTTAGAGGAATATTCTTTTAAATGTTTTTTTAGCCTTTTACTAAATTGTTTTGTTTTTTAATTCCATTCTTCAATTAGATATAAAATTTATTTTGTATTTTAATTTTGATCATCCTCTTTTTAATTGCTATTTTTTAAAAATATTTTGTATAATTAATTTTTTTTTTCAATCTCATTCTTCAATATATAATTGATTAAGAATTGAACTTCATGGTTTTTCTAAATGTGTTGCTTCATGTCTAATATCTTAGATTATGGATTTAAAAAGTTAATACGGATATTTTTATAGAAAAAACTTTATAATTTTTTTATATTTTTTATTAGGTTATTTTAATTACATAATTTAAACTGTGAGTTTGATGGGATATTTTGGATTGACTCAGTTCTAATTATATTGTTCATATTTTTCACTCATGTGGGGAAAAGATAAAAAAAAAATCTAAATTTGCTATTCTCAAAAATAATTGTATAATAGACATGCTCCATGTTGATTAACTTTCTAAATTTTTCACTCATGTTTAATAGTGAAAGATTTTCTAGAAAACAGAGAACTAAATAAAATAAATTTACTAATTGAAAAATAATTTGTTTTAGAAATTCATGTTTTACAATTCTCTAATTCTATATATATATATATATAATTAAAATAGTTGTTTTCGTAATCCTCCACCATGAAAAATTAAGAGCCTTCTTTCGCTCACTTAGAGGGTACGTAGAGAGTATTTGAGTTGGAGGTATGGTTGATTTTTTTATAAAACTCCCATAAAAAATATTTTGATGATAAATGACTCAACATCTCCTTATATATTTGGATAAGTCTCAAATTTATCTCTAAATTCTTAATTGTAGTCATAGCATAGTATTTAATTAATATGCCTTTTTGTAAAGGTTTTTTCATCCAAATTGCTTAGAAATTTTAAAAAAACCAAAATGGTTGCAATAGTCGATCTTGAAAACTTAAGTGGAGAGGATATTCATAAAATTGCTTACATTTTTTTTTAAAATAAAAACTTTAAAAATTACTCAACCATTATAATTTTAAAAAATAAAATTCGGATTAATTTCAAAATTTTTATTGTTTTATAATTGAAAACCGCAAGGGCATTTTCGATATAAAATATATAATCATATCAATTTAGACTGCAAAATCTGAGAGAGAAATATATTGAAGAATTTGATATTATATAAAGAAATGACGGACACAATGAGAGACCTGATCAAGTTATCCTATTTTCCATTTAAACCAAGAGATGCTCTTGCTCTTATTTTTTATTTTAGAAAATTTGTATTCAATTAAATTCTTTTTTTTCTTTTAGTTTTCATGAAGGAATCATTTTATAATAAACACTAAAAATAGGATAAAAACCAACAAGCTATTTTATAAAAAGTAGGCATATAATTGATACAATTTTTGAGTGTAGAGACTAAATCAACCTCCTGGTTAAAATAGACTATCTAGATAGAAATCCAGGAATTTTATAATTTTATATTTTTATATTTTTATTTAATTTAATTTTGATAAATCGAAAAAGTTCTTAGAAAAACTCTGAGATTCCGGATTAGTGATCCTACTAGCACCTAGCATCTCAGAAAAAAACACCAAAACCTAGAAAACCTTGAAAGCAACACCAAAATCCAGAAAACCAAGAAAGCCATAGGGAGATTTTAGCATAACTTTAAGTTTTTATATATCATTGCGAGATTGTATATTGTTTGTGAGAATTAGATTACTATTTTTTTATTATAATTTAATTTTTAGTAATTGAATATATAAATTTTGTATATTAAATATTGAAAAATTACTTCTTTTTTTTTAATTATTATCTCTGTTTATGTCTAATAATCGAAAGCAACCCGTTAACAACACCGTGTTATTTAAAAAAGCCTCAATTGAGCCAATTTACTAAAAATTAAAAAGATTTATTATCTTCTTCAATAAACCAAGCCAATATGTGTGATATTAAGAGATTATTAAGTTTTTCATTTCTCTTTTTTCCCCCATAAAGACCAACCAATCATGTTAATTATAGATTTATTATAATTGTGAAAAAATAATAATGGAATAGTTGCAACCAATTGGACATTTTTGGTTATATGTATTCAGATGGTATGATAATTTTGTGTTTCAAATATAAATTCTTCGGGAGCAAAAAAAATCCTATAAAGTTAATATCAAAATTTGCAGGCTAAAATTCTTTATTATGTTACATAACAACATGATTGTTGGATAAACATCCTAAATTTGAAACTAAAGAATTATTTTTTAAACTAAATTTGAAAGTAGAAAATATTACTAAAAAAACAATATAAATTAAGAAAAAAAAATACAGATAAATCTTGTTAGTCATGGACAAACTCACGAGATGCTGTTGAAAAAGGCTAAAGTGGATTCTGTCAAAAATAAATCAATAAAATAAAGAATTGTACTCTTAATTTTATACATAATCGGAAATATTCTGGAATAATTCAATAAGTAGAAAGACACATTAGGTGATCAAGAATTGAATAAATTTAAAAGAGCAAAATGGTAATGTCCAAATGATCTCATGATTCGGATATGTTTGCTAACCTCACAATTTTCAATTGTATGCTTTTGTGCCTATCTAATATATATCTTTTTTTTGTGACTATATTATATATTATAGCGATTCGCATAGATTTGGTTTTTGTTTGACTTAGAAAATATCAGGTTTGGTGTATCACACGAGTGGGACACTATATATTATTTCATTTTATTCCTATCCATATTAAGAGTTAATTCATTTTTATTTTTTTTGGAGATCAGCCGTTGACAGGCAGTGCAGAAATAATATGAGGTTTTTTTTTTTAAAAAAAAAATTATCATGAGCTTTGAAGTGCATAGAACCGGAGTGAATTACAAGTTAGTCCCTCTATTTTTTTTTTATGAATTCATAGGCTAGTTTCAATTGTTTTGAAAGTCATAAATTAGTTTTTCAACGAAAGTTGATAGCTAATATCTGTATTAAGAGAAAGATAATTCGAGTTGAAAATCAAATTAAATAGCAATTTTTTTAGTAGATATAAGCCAGCCTCAAAGCTTTTCAAACCGCCCCCTACAACAAGAAGTTAGAGAGTAATTAAAGGCCCGGGAAAGATTAGAAGTTTCTATTTGAAGTCAACCAAAAGATTCTAGAAGATTATATTTACTATTTTTATTATTTTTTTTGTTTATTCTATTCTTATTTGTTGAATTCTGGTTTTCATAGCCAATAAGTTTTCGAAAATAGTTATATGTATGTTGTTTTAATTTTGATTCAATTGAATTGGTATATTCTATGATTAAAAAAAGAAAACCTACAAAAACAAACATTAATTCATGTGATGAATAACACACGTTTACAAGAATTGCACCCGACATTAACATACATGCATACATGTGTGTGTGTGTGTGTGTATATATATATATATATATATAGAGGGGGGGGGGGTTGCATTGAAAAACAAAAAGGAGAAAAATGTGTTGATGAATTAAAAAACAACGAGGAGAGAATTGTATTTTGAAGCTGAAAATTCTAATTAACTTACTTTCAAACACAAACTCAAATATTTATATAAATATTCATAGAAATCTTTATACAAGCACAACCCTTACAATAATAACTTACAATACAAACACAGAACCAAATATAAAATGATTAGGTGGGAAATGCATGAACTTAATTAAAAGTCTTCATTAACCATTATTAAAATACAAGTTTATCTTCCAACGCCAATCATGTTTCCTTGCGTTTAAGTAATGCAAGCAAACTATATGTTAGCCCCAGCTGAAAGACTTCAGATTTTTCGAGCTTTTCATTGAACGAGTCAAAAAGCTCATCCAGGATCTCATGTCCAAAGTGCTCCTTCAAAAGGAACTCCAAACCAGCTCTGATGTGATATGATACGGCTCTTGCTTTCTGTGGAATAGTGTCTTGACTCTTTTCTAGGGGGAGGCACTCAAGTCTTTCTAGGTTAAAATAACCATTTCGTTCTACAGTCGCCTCTAGTTCTTGAGGAGAGGAGAAATATATAGGTATGTTGAAGGAGTCCACCTTCTCTTCGCTTATGATTCCCTGCCCCGGAAAATTCATCAGTTATATATATATATATATATATATATATAACAGTGAAAAGAAAGTTAAGCAATTCCAAAGTTTAATAATGTTTTTGTTGTTTGTTAAATAAAAAAAGCCATGGTGGTTTGAGATTCCATACCATCTTAGCCATGTCCATAAGGCAAGATCCCAATATGTCATATGAAATGTTGGAAAACACTCGAGTATGAGGGCTTGTATCCGTGCGGCCTGGGACCATGAGTATAATCAACCCTCCACAGACAACCTCTTGTGCCCTGGCATGCAAGAAGCAATCCAAGTCCTCGGCGAATTGATCCGCGTAAGCCTTGACAGTTTGATCTCCAGCACTGGAATAATATATCCTTCCCTTATTCCAAGCAGGAGAGCTTACGTTCTCGACCTCCTTAGGCACCTGAGAAAGCCATTGGAGAGCATAGGAAGTGTGTACAATGTGAAGAAAGTCATTCGGGAATAAACGACCATGGAAGGAACCCGGCATGCCGGCAACGTAGTAGTTCCTGTTGGGAGGAAGGGACTTGAAGAGCGTGTTAAAATCATTCAAAGCGTGATCGTTGAGGAAAACTTGGAACTCCGGCAGTCTAGAATGATCATGTCCTTGGCTTTGATACTTGTTTAGCACGGCTTCAACTATGTTTTGAACTGCAACAAAAGTGTTTGGTCCAACAGAACATCCCATGTCTGAGACACAAATGGTGTTCGATGAAGATAGGACACAGATGTCGAGCTTCTCAGCAATTGCCTCAGTGATAAGTTCCTTGACTGCAACTATAACTTTTTTCTGTAAATCAAAATTTTACTCGTCTTCAATGAAAGTTGCATGTATATATGGTAATGTTAGTGAATAGAAAGGTGAAATGCATGCGTTTGTGCTAAGAAAATTAAAGAATAGAATCACATACAAAACTACCATTTAGTAGAATCCTTTCTAGGAATGACAATATAGTTTTATTACCTTGAAAAAAAAAAACATGTGTGAATATTTCACATTAAATTTCATGATATGCATGCAAATATAATATTTTATTATTGTTTTGAGATAAAGAGAACAAGCCTCTTTATACTTTATATTTTAAAAATATAGAAATTTTACTTTAAAATTATTCAGAAATAGATTTATTTTGTAAATATAGAAATTCAATTTAAAATTACTATGTTAACATATTTATTTTATCAAATTATCAAGAAATATATTTATTTTATAAGTATAGAAATTCAATTCAAAATTATCATATTAAGATATTTATTTTATCAAATTAACAGATTATCCAAAAATAAATTTATTTTGTTTCTATCTTTTTAACTAAGTCAACAAGTTTTTAAAATATAAAAATTTTAATAAGAAATATATTTATTTTATATTATCATTTCCATCTTCTTAATCAAATATATTTTTATTTTTTTATATTTATCATTTTTATTTTAAAACACTAGCTAAACACAATCATAAAAGTCATAAAATGCGGTTGTGGAACTAGATAGTATATAACTACACTATAGTACTACAACCTAGCTGCGTATTTTTAACATCCAATATTTAATAGTATCTCCTATTACTATTTATATGAAATTCAGTGTAAATGTTTTAGCATTCTCTTACTATTCATGAATATCATAACATCACACACACACACACACACACACACATATATATTATTAACTAGTAAAAACATTTGCTTTTACATATCCACAGCATGTAAAGTTTTTTTTTTTTTAATGTAATCTTATCATGGTCTTAAATTTTAGTAATGAGAGAAAATTCCCACCCTTCTCATACCCTTAATGAAATTTGATAGTGTATACATACATATTCTTTGGCTTGTTTTCGCAAGAAATTAACACTTATCTCATCCTATATATCTCACCATTATGACAACCACTCTTTCACCTTCCTTTCTCCTTCACGCTTCCAAACCTCTCTTGTCAAAATCACAACCAAAGTATAATATTTAGCAACAAATATTCTCAGCACGAGGCAGTAGAATTTGAATACTCAAGCCAAAAGTGCCTGTGAATCGAACAATTATCGCTCGCATGTTCGAACAGCATGCAATTACTTTATGGTTGATGAACAAGGCACGCATAGCGTGAAACAAGATACTGCTGGAGCAGATCTTTTTCTTAATCCTTTTCTTTCTCAATATGAAATATGTTCTGCCTTTGGAGATCGCATCATTGAAATATATTATTAGCATGCGCGAAAGGTGCTCTGATCACTGTAACGTCAAAGCATCAAAATTAAGAGTTCATGATACCTGGTAGGTGGAGTTCTTGCTATAGCTGTACAGGCCATGCCCACCATTCATTGGAAGTGCCTTGGAAAAATTGACACTCTGCACAGCTCCTGCCATCTCCCAAGATCTCTCTGTCTCTGTGCAAAGGTTTATCTTACTCTAACATCCGTGCACAATACGGTCCATTATATACACCATTGGTAACCATGGCTCGATCAGAAAATTATAAAATACAAAAATAAAGATTCATTTACTTCACCTTAAAATAAGAAAATAAGGGACCCCTGACTCAGATGGGGCTATACTGAATTAAATTTTCGTTGGAGAAAATTTTACTTCATTTTCTGAAACTTTATGTGCATATAATTTCTCTTGGTCATTCTCCTATGGGAAAAACCCAGGAGCTACCATTTTAATTCATCAAAAAAAAAAATTATGAGCAAGAGATAGGTGGCAAATGCGGATTCATATGCTTATTTATTTTATGCAACTTTTGAATTGTAATTTTATGATAACAAATGGGGTTAGGTTTTCTATATCAATGCTAAAATCAATTACATATGTTTCATGCCTAGACCAGACAAATTTGAGGAGTACGATTGGCTCCATTAGTATTTAATTTCTTCTTCTCAACCAATCATTTTTTTTAAAAAAACAAATGATCTAATACTCGATCAATCTGCTGTACCCTTTGAATGTTTAATAAAATTATAAATATAAATTGTTTCATGGACCAGCAGATGAGCTAAGGCATTTTGTCGATCCTCAAAGCCGGTCTACTTACTTCCTACAAGAAGTAAAAAAGCATCCTCTAATTCGTTTGAGAATGACAAATAAGAACCTTGCCCTTGCTTGTGAATGGAGGCATTTATGGTCCCAAAAACTTAGAAACTTTTTTAATTGTTGTGATGACATATATGTCACCAAAAAAATAGTTATATCACTTTTCATATGTGATGGTCCCCTCGAAATACATTTTCAGCTGATATTGTTTATAATTGTTTTGACATATATGCTAACAATAAAGAACTATTTCTTCTTCGTATATGTGATGGTCCCCAAAATAATTACATTTGAATGCTTTTTTAATTGTTTTTGTGATAAATACGTTACCAAAAAATAGTTTTTTCTTCTATATATATGATGGGAACTGCGATATACTTGTAATTTTGTTAATATTGATAGTGACTAAATTTTTTGAAAAGGATATTTCTATAAGGTGGACGTAGCTGTTGATCTTTCCTTTCTATATTGTTTGGACAATAAAGGAGAAGTGTCGGCTTAGAATTTGTTTGGTATTATAATAATTTTTGTGATTATAATTTGAAAAATAATATTTTATAAAAAATATTTTTAATTGAGGTTGATTTGATATATTTATATATGTTTGGTTAAAATTAAGGTTAAAAAAAAATTTAATGTGTTTAGTTAATAATGCTTTTTAAATTGAGGTTATAAAATAAGTAATATATATATATATATATATATATATATTACTTATTTTATAAATATATATATATATATCATGAAATAATAATATTTATATAAAATATTTTTTATTATTCTATTAAACCGTCTATAGTTTCATTACGTACAAAATTTATCTGATAAAAATTATAGTTTTTATAATTTTTTGAACGTGTATTAAAATTAGATAAAATATTATCAAGAATAAAATTGATATTATAATGCGAGTAAATTTAATTCACTCTACACTAGTTTTTTAAGAAAAAAAATATTATTTATATGACAGTGTAAATAAATTTAATTTACTCTAAATTAGTTTTTTTAATTAAAAAACTATTCAAAAAATAAACATATTAAAAAAAAATTATTCACATAAGCAGTGCGAGTGAATTAAAATTTCACTTGCACTGTCCATTATTTTAAGTAAAGATTGCAATTCACTCGAACTATTTATGTGAATAGTGCAAGTGAATTACACTGTTCACTAAATCACTGAACAATGAATAAGAAAAGCAGCCAAGAGCTGCTTCGGCAAAACCTGTCTTTAAAACGTGAATTGTACTGAATTCCATAAAAAATAAATTGTGTTTTTAATGTGACCAAACATTTGTGTTTATTGTGGTTACTTCAAAGCAGTAGCAACCGTGCAAACAAAGAGACTCACTCGTACTGTTTACATGAACAAGGTTTTTTTTAATGTGTTTATTTTTTGAACAATTTTTTTAAATAGTTTAGAGTGAATTAAATTCACTCGCACTATATTGTGAACAATATTTAAAAAAAAAAAAACTATTATAGAATGAATTAAATTTACTCACACTGTAATATCAATTTTATTCCTGATAATATGTTCACGCTCAACAAATTATGAAAATTATTGTTCTTATTGGATCAATTTTATACGTAATGGAATTGTAGATGGTTTAATGAAATAATAAAAAATATTTTTTATAAAATATTTTTTATTTTATGATGTAATAGTAGTAATTAAATCTACAATATTTAAGTTTAAAATCATATATATATATATATTACTTATTTTATAACCTCAATTTAAAAAGTATTATTAACCAAATATATTAAATTATTTTTTATTCAACTTCAATTTTAACAATAATTTTAATCAAATATTTATAAATATCAAACCAACCTAAACTAAAAATATTTTTTATAAAATATTTTTTTTCAAATTATAACCACCAAAACTATTACAATACTAAACATAATTAAGGAATAAGCAAGCTTCCAGGCACTGTGCTGTGTAGTAACAAGCCTTAGATGTGGTAAATCTTGCAGTTCTTTTGGGCAAACAATATTAAATGAGCTGGTTTTTTGCCAATAGTTTTGTCAATATTTTTTATTTTTTATTTTTTATTTTTATTTTTTATTTGAGATAATTCTCAGAGATATTATTCGTGAGACTTTCCTGCATATATAATCAAAATTGGAATTTGTGTGTTCTTTTTTAAAAAAAAAATTGTTATTGTTTTTATTTTTGAGAATTAAAAAGAAATTAAAAAAAAACTATTAATTTCAGATTTAAAAAAAAAAAGTGGGTTATGATTTTATCTTTACAAAATTAGGTTTGAAGAATTCTAAGAAGATAAGACTTTCCCATTTTTTTTATTTTTCTAAGTAATAACTTTCACTTTTTGTCTTACTTTATAAACCTCGAAACCATGAAATGGAAATTAACTATTAAGGAAAAGATACGGTCCTCTTGTATTTATCACTTTCCTTTTTGTTTTTCCCTTACAATTAGGTTCTAGATAGAAACCTTGCTCTCTTTTTTGTCTTTCATTTTACATCTTGCTCGTCATTTAAGTTCAACAATTTACAAACTATTTTTTATGATTAAATTTAATTTAAAGTTTTTCAGAAAGTAACTGGATATTATTATTAACAATAAATGATTTAAATAGATTGTGATTTCATTGTGTATACACTCACAGCTTATTGTTTGTTTAATGTGTATTTTTGTATTTTTTATATTTTGGTACCTCTAGTTTGGAAAATTTACAATTTAATTTATTGAACTTATTTTGTTTTAATTTCATCATTTTAAATTATGTTTTCATAATTTTATACATTGAAATTTATTTTAAGCTGCTTTTTTCTTATATGCCTAATGTTTAATTAAATACTTTGGCATTAAATTAATGATCGATTTTATAAAATAAAGTTTCAGTTTTTTATTAAAAAACATTGAGAGTTTAAGGACTTCTATACAAAAAAAAAAAAAAAAGAAGATGCGCAAAAGTTTTGTTTGATCCCTTAAGTTTTATTTTTTACATATTTCATTAAGGTTCTTTTAGGTTATCATGTTTTAATCCTAGGAGGTTGAGAAATGAGAGGGAAACTTAATAAATTCAATTTTGGTGTATATGGACTTGTCTTTACGAGAGAAACTTAATGGAATGATTTTTACCTTTAAAATTATATTGAAAAAAATAGATCAAGCCTCAAATGAAATTTAAATTAAATATGATTTTGAGCTTTTAAAATGATTAAAATGTGTTTTATTGTTATAAATGAGTTTTTAGAGGTCTATATTATTTTGATTTTTTATCTTTTTGGGTGAAAAATTTATTTAAATTTAGATTCTTGAGGTTAAAAAACTTATATCCTGATTTTTTATTATTATCAAAGCAAACTTTGGTAAATGAAAAAAATTAAAGACAAATCATAAGTTGTCTATACAATCAATTAAAAGAATAAAAATTGATAAAAACACCCTTTTAAAAAAAAAAACCAGGTTTGCCTACATTTGTATTTATTAGCTAGGCACATAGACCTATTTATCTAGACTCTTAGCCTTTTTATTTATAATGGGCTTTAAAGTTTTTATTTTTTATTTTTTATTTTACATTATATAAGAATATTATCTTTAAATAAATTTATTAAAGTAAAACTTAAGTAATTATAAGATTATGCCATTGTTTTAAAATAATGTTAACATTTTTTACGGTAATATTAACAATAATATGTATAATTATCTAAAAACATATATTCATAAATATTCAATGCGAATGAAAAAATCTATTTTGTTAATTTTTTATTATCTGTTTTTATATATTTCTTCTTAAATTTATTATTTTTAATACATTTGAATCAACATTATCAATTCATTTTTTATGTTAAAACTTACATTTAAGATAATAATAAATATTTATTTAAAAAACACCACTTTTGATAAATAAATAAAAAGACAAGTTTTTATTAAAAAAAACAACAAGAAGAAAAGAAATCCATAAATACGGAAATGGGGTTTTGATTAATAAGATATATTTTTATCCTTATTTCAAAACATTAAAAAATTTAGATATTTATTTTAAATATCTTCAGTTTTTACACAATTAACCACATAGCTAAAAAAACGATATATTTTTTGTTATAAAAAAACTTACAGTAATAAAAAAACTGAGAGGGCAAGACCTTAGGTCCAAGTCAAGTGATTCTTTAGACAAAAACATTATATTTTTTCAACGTTTTTATTTTTATATAATTAAATAAAAATTTAAAAAATGCCTAACAACTCAAGATAAAATATATACATGTGCGTATATATCTTTTACTCTCAATAAAGATCAGCTCCCCACTTTACTCATAGCAATTATAGCAATTATTTATAATTAAATAAAAATTAAAAAAATGCCAAATAACTCAAGAAAAGAATACGCGTGATTTACTAGTTCATATATCTTTTAATTAATTTTATAAAATTCACACATCAACTTTTTAATTCTCAAATAAAATTT